GTGTTTTAGAGAACAAATAATGACTTTGTTCAAAAAAAAAAACATTATAGCTGAGCTAAATGAAGAGAGTGCTATGTTCAATGAAGAAGCTATGTTTAATGTCAAAATCAAAATCTTGGCTGATTTCAATGTGCTGTTGGATGTTGTCCGCCATAACTTCTGTGGTTAACGTCACGTTGTAATCCAACTGCAGTTGAGTTGAACGGCAATTGTAGTTCAAGATGAGCGTTCGATGACGTATACTATCAAACTCACAAATGGACCAATCAGAGGTTAGCGCTGATTTCCAGCTGACGGCGTCCTGTCCAAAGAAACCAGGCCTTAAGTGGTTTAGAAGTTGGAATTTTCATGCATATTTTCTTCCTTCAGAAAACAATTTTTAGTGTTGGTTGAAGAGAAATTAAAATATTGACATTTGTTTCATTTTCGTTATCGCTTTTTAAAACTTTCAAGGCTCGTGGGTAAACTGGTTGTGGACACCTTGTCGAGCGGTGCAATAATGTAAACCTTGGTTTTGAAGAGTACTAATCAGTTCTTCTGAAGAATTCTTTCAGATTAGTTTAGCGATATCTTAATTAGGTCAACTCAATTTAAATCAGACATAGACTTTCAGACAGGACTTTTTCTTAAATAATAATTCCTTTAGGAAGAGTAGTCACACGATTGAAACGAGTATGTTTTTTTCAGATGGGTTTAGCAATGTCTGAATTAGGTCGACTCGACATTAGTAAAATCTTAGAAAATATCGGAGGCTTGTTGGTCAGTTTGCAATCATCTAATATTCTTCAAGAAGATGTTCTGAGTACGGTCACCAACCTTTTGGAAGAAATTCAATTCGACCAAATTGATACAGAAGTGTAAGTACTTGATTTTGTTTTATTTTGCTCATTATTTTAACAATAAAAGAAAACAAAGAATATAATAAAAGAATGTGAAGCTGTCAAGTAAAATCAGATTTCTGACCCCTAAAATATAGAGGGTTGCCGCAATGTGGGAAATCTGGGCCCAAATTTTAACTTTTTGGGTATTTCGCCATATCTCGAGAATCTTTTGAGCGAGTGAAATTTTTGAGCACAATTATAAAATTTGTTCATTCTAAGATAATGCCGAACGTAAGATAACCTTCAATTAAAAATTATTATTTGATTACTTCATTTCATAATATTCGAAAAACGTTTGGAATTGTGAGACATACAATTTTTTACATCAATTTAAAGAATGTAGTTTTACATGGCAAAATAGAAAATTTGAGAGAAATCGGTCAAATAGTTCCTGAGAAATCGAATTTTAAAAAAGCCATTTTTTTAACGCACTGTGCATGAAGATCTTGCATCAAAGAATTAATTTACTACATTATAACTTGATGTATAAATATGCAATATGGTCTAAAATATTTTAATTTCAATCAAAGTTTCAGAGTCTATAAAATTTATAGTAATAACAAAAGTGATATATTCCAAAAATTAAAAGTTTTATTTAAATTGTTTCTATCACTTAAAATGAAAAATCGTTCTTATTAAACGTATAACAGTAAGTCAGAGATGCCAACTGCTCCGGACACGCCAAAATAATTAAAAAAACGGTAAATAACTAATGTAAGTTTTACAAATTTTTCATTATTTTTGCTTGCCTTTTAAAAAGTACACATTAAATAAGTACTATAAAGTGGTGAATTATATAAACCTACGAATTGTTTAGAAATAGTGGTGGATAAAAATCTACTAAATTGAATTTATTAAACCAAGAATCATAATTGATAAACTACCACTTTAAAATATATATTTGCTGTCCGGAGCAAGTTGGCATCTCTGGTAAGTGTCCATAATGCATAAAAATTATTTCTTGGTGCAGAATAAGACGGATAAGTAAATCAATGAAAACAAATAAATTAATGAGTTTTTCAATGAATCTGTGAACCCCAGAAATGAACAAATCAATAAATGAACAAATCAAAATATAAAGTAAATATCGCGCTTAACAATAACTCAGCAAATCAATAGATTAGTGAATCAATGGGTTAAGGTGATCAAATTCATTATTTAATGAATATTCACTCTATTATCAGGAAATCAGCAAGTGATTTGATGAGTTAGCGAATCAATTAATCAACGAATAAAACATTAATAACTTAGGGCATGTATATTGATTTGATAAATTATGAGTGAATGTTTCTAAGATTCAACTTATCAGTGAATTAAAAATCATTGAATTATTGAAAAAGTGAATCAGCTTTCAAGAAAATCTATGAATCAGCAAAGCATTGAGTCGCTTAATTAGTAAATCTGTCATCAAACGAATTTACAATCAAAAAAAGAATATTTTTTTAATTTTATATTATTTTTATTATTTAGTTCTTATTCTTGATAATTATTACATATATTAGAGTAATCCGTAGTTGTGTCGTACTAAAAACTGTTTTTAAAAATTTAAGTTTTAGATATTTGTTACAGTTATCAAGGAAACATTAAAAATTGCCATTTCGATATAAATCCGAATTTTGCACTCTTTGATTTTCTCTTTTCAGCTTATCAGATCTCATAAATGATTTGGAGCCCTTATATAAAGATAGTGATTGGTCATCTTTAATATACATTCTAAAAGATTTGGATCTTCCAATGTTCAAAGGAAAAAATATTGAATCAAGTAAATATGACATAGCTGCTTATTCCTATGCCTATTCCTACTGATTTTCCAGAAGATTTTATATTTATAGTTAAAGTTAGAGTTAAACCTACGGATTTGTATTTTAGTTTTCGAACTTTAAACAATTTTAACAACTATAAGTAAACATATATATTGAAATCCATATTATAAATAAATAAAAGCAAATATAGAAATGCATGGTAAACTATTCTCTTTAAATTCTGTGGTATCTATTATTATATGCGATATCTATTAATATATGTAAAATATTTCTATCTATTAATGTATGTAAATAATTTGTATCTATTAATGTTATTTTTCATCATATGTTATTCAATTCATGCACTAAACCTGTGCTTCTGCAAATAACTTTTCATTTTTTATGTTTTACTTTTGTCCTCCCATATTCATTATTCCAAGTCTCGTTTTTATCAACTTCAATATCTACTATATTAAATGAATCGGCGAGAACCTTCAAGCTGGTATAGAGCAACAAGACAAAATCCAATGACCTATGAACAGAGTGTTTATGCTTTGGCAAAGTTTAAAAGTTTTTTTTTACATTAAACGCTTTTTTTTCAATTGTTAATTTACCACCACGTAGGAAAATAGTTAGGGAAAAGAGCAAAATTTTTACACTTTTAAGGGAACTAGTTTTCTAGTCAAAATAAGATTTATGCTTTTACGTTTAATTATTTTAATTTTATCTTGATTGCAATATACGAGTTCAAAAANATACGAGTTCAAAAAATTCATAGGGAGTGGTACAATCTGTGCACAACTATTTTTTTGAAATTATGAGTGTTGTCAAAGATGCTTGTACTACAAAGGTGCTTATACTCAAATGTTTGTGTACTGCTCAGAGAATTAATAAACTTCTAAATTACCACAGCAAGTCTAAAATTGAAAAACATATGCATTTTTTAAAAAAAATCTATTTTTCTGCCTTTTCAAGAAAAAAAATTGCCTCAAATGTAAGAAACTTACAATATCCTATTTGAAAAACAATTTCTTTATTTTTACACTTCATATGCTTAAACCTTGCCGTATGATAATAGATTTTAGCACCATCGACAAGGAATGGTTAAACCACATAAATTCGCAATAAATTTAAATTATTAATCAACTTTAAATTATTTTTATAAAATCAGTTTTGAAATAACCACGATAAACGAAATGAAAATATTTTTAACTGTTATGAATGCAACAAAATATGTCTATTTTTCAAAATTTAACTGCCGTTCAACACGGTGAATGCCACTCTAATTTTACAAGGCTTGTCCGTCTGGCCAAAGGGTAAATAACTACTAACTAAATTTGCAAATATTAGACATATTTTGCTAGTTTATTTAAAAGGTTTAGATCATAGGTAAGTATTGGGCGGATCATTGCAGTATATAGTAGCTTCTTTAGTTTAAGTGACATATTCCGATTATATATTAAAGGTTGTATGGCTATTATTGCTGCATTTGCTTTATCTATTGTGCTTTTGATGTGATCATTCCAGGTGAGTTTGCTATTGATTATAAGGCCAAGATAATTTACTTTTTTAACTATTGGTATTGGTATGTTGAACATTTTTGGTTGAAGTTGTGGAAGTATTTTAATTCTTCTTTTTTGTATAATTAATATTTGTGATTTTCCAGCATTTACTGCAGTTTTCCATTTTAAGCACCAGTCTTCTATTTCGTCTATATGGTCTTGTAGTTTTTGAAGAGCATGATTTGGGTTTCTGGATTTAATAATAATACCGGTATCGTCTGCGAAATAGGCTGTTATAATCGGCTTTGTTCATAGGAAAATCATAAGTGTATAATATGTATAATATCGGTCCCAGAATGCTGCCCTGTGGTGAACTAGGCGTATCAGACATAAGTGGTGAATTTTATAAGCCTACGAATTGTTAGAAATAGTGGTGGATAAAAATCTACTAAATTGAATTTATTGAACCAAGAATCACAATTAATAAAGTACCACTTGAAAATATTTATTCGCTGTCCGGAGCAAGTTGGTGTCTCTGTGTAAATAAATAACACTATTTTTGCGTGTTTCATATTGCATTAATTTCCTCAAACCATTTTAGTAACAATAATAATATAAAAAAAATAAAAATTCACTCGAATTATGTGTTTCTAATAATCTTGGCTTCGCCGGTCACCGGTGACCCCCGTGGCGCTACGAAAAAACTCAGTGCCGGTCACCGGTGACTCCCCATTGCATTCAACGTGTTAAAACTCTTTAAAAATCTTTTTGTGATGTGTCTGATAGGGGCTGAAGAGGTTAAGAAGTATTTTCAGGAATTTCATGAAAATTTAGTGGAAAATTTTATGCGTCTGTAGAATTATGAACGGAAAATAAAAAAGCGGTGACCAAATCATTCCGTTTATTTTATTTAAAAATGTGATCGAAGGCTCTTGAATAGTTTATTAAACGACTAGTTATTTCTTTAAAGAAAAAGATTAATGTATCAACCAAAATTAATGTATGTTAGAATTAAGGGATATTTCCGTATTGTGATCTGTGGCAGAATTATTGCCACGTCTTGGCAACTTCCGGGCAGCGGCCAGCGAAAAACTAAGAAGAGCATCACAGAAAGGGTTGGCTAACATGTAGATGTTAGCCACCCCCTGGGAAACATCTACATTAAAAAAAATTGCAAGTTTAAAATCTAATATGCACCTTAGCAATTGTAGTTGGCGCGACAGATCACGATACGGAAATATCCCCTAGAATTAAGGTGAAAGCATAATAATTCTGTTATATTAGTCATTATTCTATACCACGGATATCACAGGTTACTATAAATGCAAAAAGTGATGAAAACTAAATTTAATTTTATTTATTTATTATATCTTTAATTATTCAACCGTAACTACCACCATGACTTACATTTCAAATTATTATTATGTATAGTAAAATCATTCTCTAACAGTAATAATCTGAAATGATTATGCGTAGGTAAACTTTAAAAGTTGCTAGTATTAATTGCAATAAATAAAATTTTGAAATTTATTATTAACCCTTTGACGGTCAGGGAAATGAGCAGTTTTCGTTTCATTAATTCGCACAGTATTACGTGCAAACAGTAGTCGAAAGTGGCATCTGTTTTCCACTTCCGTTCCTCCGAAAATATCACTCTTCTCTGGCGATGCCAACTGCATATTTGCCAACTCTTCCGGAAGATTTTATTTTCATATTTAAAGTGGTAGCAATACTCAGGTTATTCCAATTAACTTTTCGAATTACAATGATAATTATAAATGAGTTTGACCACCACTACATATAAATAATTACAATAAATATATGAAAGTATAATAATCCTTGCGCAAGCGAATTTCAACGTGATCGAAATATAAATATATTTTTGAGTCAGATTGTTTTTTCTTTTACAACCACTCTGAAAATCCATTCTCGAAAAGAGTGAAAGTTGGCAGGTATGCAACTGCTCCGTCTTCTGGAATTGTTATAATAAAGTGGTAGCAAATTATGTAGTAAAGTTTGTTGGAGAAGGACAGTTACGCCTACTTTTTAGTAGAGTAACCAATAGATTGTTGCTCT